TATTGATCGTGGTTGGCTGGCGACTGTTGTGCATAGGCTTATTGATAACATACTTTAGGACTTTCTTGATGATGCGTTGAAATCTGTGGAGGAGTTACGATGCATTTATGTAATGCCTGCTTTTGTGGTTTTCCCTGTAGTGGTACTGAGTGTGGTTCTGAGTCACTTCGATGTTGTATGCTGAGCGTGGGTAGTGTACTTGTTATTGGATTACTAACTGCTGTTGCTCGTTTTGCGATTGGTGGAATCGGTTGCTGGTTACTTCTCTGCTGGATATGATTATTCGATTCAATGCTTTGATTATGGACTATTCTTTCTTGCATCAGTTTTGGGTGACTGGATTCTAATTTGACGGGTAAGATGATCGTGTGGTTGTCGTCCCCCAAAGAGTTTTCCGATGGGTTCTGACGGTTTCCATAAATTGGGTTTTTCCTACGGCATTCGTTTGTTCGACGGCCCAGAATGCCACAAGTCCAACAAAAAAGTACTTTAGGTTTTGTGCAACCTTGCGCAAAATGATTCGCTTCCCCACATCTACGGCACGCACTACGTACGTTCACCCTTTCGGTTTGTACTCTGTGAACAGAAACTGGCGGGGACCATTCTTGAGTGTGTTGTCGCTCTGTTCTGCTCAGTTGAATAAGTCGCTCGAATTCTCCTGCTAATTTGATCAACTCTCCCAAGGAGCTAAATTCACGTGGTTTGATGTTTAGTTGATATTCCGCCCTACTGTTTCGATAGATTCGGCTTAATTGTTGCCCCTTCGTAAACTCGGCTTGCCGTATCAACTCCTGTAGTGCTAAGACATAGTCTTGAAATGACTCATTCTTCTTTTGGTATCTGTTCCGAATCGTATCTTCTAGTTGCTCTAAGTAATTAGAGGGCAAGAAAAATTCTCGAACATCCTGGACAAAACTGGGCCAGTGTGTCCACTTCCGATTGTTATTTCGGAGCCACATTACGGCTTCCCTTTCGAGTATTTCTAGCATCATCCTGGGCAGGATGTCTTTGGAAATGTTATGGTTGTCGGCGAGGCCTTCCAATCTCTCCAGAAATGGTAGTGGGTTCGTTTCGCCATTGAAATGCACAGCCCATTTGCGAACTTGATTCGCGATTCTCGCGATGTCCTCAAACTTGTCATTCATCGTGGTGGACTCTGAGATGTGTATTTTCGGTGTTTCTTGTACACTGTTTTTTATGTTCCTAGTGCGTTCTTTTTTTTTTCTTCTAAAGCTCTGTCCCTGCTCGGGCGCCAATTGTAACGACACTTTGGGTGACGTTCAAAAATTTTTAGTTTTTGCTGGGGTATCCTCAGCCGTCGTCCAGAGTCGAGACAATTTATTTATAGTTTCGCTGAGACGTTGTTTTAAAAGAAAAAGAACGTTGTTTATATATATAAATTATATATATCTTTATTTATTCCATAAAAAAAACTTATGATTAACAAAGTTTAATTAAACAAATTCTAAATAAATTATTTAGCATATAATGAGTGATCATTCATTGAAAGCATTCCTTTTGCTTTTTAATAATAAAAAAAAATATGTTGACGCCAGAATTTTTACTTCTCAATATATTACTTGTTAAAAGATTTTTGGCAACCCCAGTGTGACTTCCTGAGCCCCTCCTCTGTTGTAAAATAATAAAAAAAAAACGTTTACTCCGTGCTGTGAAAAAAACTATTTGGCCGAATGAGCCAGGTTAAAAAAATATAATACACATAAGACGAGAAAGAAAATTTTAAACTACGTTTGACTGAAGGAGCCAGGTTTTTGGCACAATGTGCCAGATGACCTATAGGTCAGTGTACTTGTTTTGGAAAAAATAAAATTGCAAGTCTTTGGTAAAATTTACCAGAAGGCTCAATGAGCCAGAGTACTTGTTCTTTTACTTGTCGAAAACCAAGTCCTCGATTATATGAAATGTGCCTCCTTTTATATCGAGCATATCGGAGCTTTTTGGTGTAACGTACCGGTATTCATTGCTGTACTTGAATTCGCCGTGAAGTTGAACTTTGTGTTCTACTGTTTTCCTTTTCTTCTACTTCGCCGTGATTTTTAGTACTTTTACTACGCGCCGTGTTTTGTGTGTGCTTTCTTAAAATTAGTGAAAATAAAGTAAATTAATAATTTAAACCAAGGTAAAAAAATATTTATATTGTGGATTCAATAATATTTAACCCCAAATGTGAAGATATAATTAAACAAATTAGAAATAATAAAAAACTAGTGTTGATGTGCTTAGTTGGTGTCGGAGTTTTTTTGTTTTGTTTTGTTTTGTTTATGTGTATAAAATAAATTTGTACAACCAAGAATGTTGAAATTATTTTGTGTTTGTTGTTCTTTTTTCTTTTTATTTATAAATTTGTTTCAAATAGATATTTGTTAAAAAATTAAACGTGTGTTATAATAATGGTTCATTGTTGCTGTGTTTACAAGTTCTTTCATTCATTCATTCATTAAACAATTTAAAACAAAAATTAAAATTTTATTGTATTTTTTTTTTATTAGCATCTGCACACTACATGTAGCGATGCCCGCGGTACATTGGCTTCGAGGATCGCAGGTAATGTCCATGATATGTTGAATAATATTTTAATTCAATTTTATGTTTTTTTTAGCTAAGTCTACTTCAGTTATTTTCACGTGAGTTATTAAATATATTATGTGTAGCGGTGGCAGTTATTTAACATACAGACTGTATTTTTTTCTTCTTCTAGCTAATATGTAGCACAAAAATTTATTGTATAAATTTATGTCGTCACAACATTTAAATTTTGTTTGACTCACGCCGTTATGATTGTGCACTCGTAACATGATGCGCGAGCCAAACGTTTTATCATATGTGGTCATTGTACGGTAGTAACACAAATTCCTTTAGAGAAATGTTAAACCTTATGGATAACTCTTATAATAATATATACAAGTAAAAATGCATAAGAAATAGATAACATATGTTAGAATAGTATAATAGATACTATGAATATCTTACATGTAAAAATTATATACTTTATCAAAAATTGGGAGTAACCAATATATTGATTGGTTACTTAAGAATATATAGGAATTAAATAATAAGTTTAGTACATAAGAATATTTTGTATAAATAGAGTAAGATTTTACATATACATCAGATTCTTTTAGATTCTTTTGCAAAGGCAACAAGAATAAACTATATGTTATTTTGAATCTCTGGTTTTATGCGGCATATCTGCTGGTAATACCATTAAGGCGGCTGAAGAGCGTAGAAAGTACTTTAAGGCGGCTGAAGAGCTCAGATTAATACTTATCCTTGCTAGGTCGAAACCTTTCTTCTGGGGCTCTTAATCCCTTAGCAATCCTGTCAAGTTAATACATATTAATGTATTGGATGAAGAACCTTGCATGGCAATCCTGAAGCTACACATCTTTACATGGCAATATTCAAACAGACATCATACAATTATATAATAACATCTTTACAACCTTAACATCTTACACTTTAGTTGTGCCACCATTTCGTCTTCTAGCGCCTTTGACCAGGAATTTGTTTCATCGCTTTCAAGTGCCTCTAAAATCGTTACTGGAGTTTGATATGTAATGAGAAACACCATTTCACAATCTTCAAAAACGTTGTTGTCAGGTTCATCATCTGAATGGTTTTCATCAGTAATTTTTCTTACTGAACTTGTATTGTCGTCTTCGTTGGATGATTCTTAACCATTCCGATTTGACGTGTGATATTCTTTTCGAGGCCTACCGCGTGAATTTGTGCGAATAAATCTCGGACGACCTCTTCTACGAATGGAGTTTTCTGCTCGCGTATCTGTATTTTCTACAATTTTCGGATTGACCGACGGTTTCTGATTTTCAGAATTTTCGAACGCAATATCGATATAATCATTTGTTTGGCAGTCGTTTTCATTGTTAATATAAATGTTTTCGTATTTATTATGATAGATATTTTTGTTTACAAACACGACATCACGACTTATTGTTATATTTCGTTTTGTAGGTGACCATAGCCGATAGGCTTTCGCTTCGTTTGAATATCCAACAAACATGTAAGGTTCTGACTTAGAATCGAATTTATCTCTAGTCTTATCCTTTTTTAGGACATATGCTTTAGAGCCAAATACTTGAAAATGTACAATAGTTGGCATTTTACCAGTCCACAACTTGTGCGGTACTACATCATTCAATGCTTTTGTAGGACACCTATTCCGAATATAGCACGCTGTATTTAAGGCCTCTGCCCAAAAGTTTGGCCGAACTTCAGCTTGTTTCATCATGCAACGGGCCATTTCAACTAGAGTTCTGTTTTTACGTTCAGCAATACCATTTTGCTCCGGCGTATATGGAGCAGTTAAGCGTCTTTGTATACCAAATTTCCTCAAGAATAAATTAAATTCAGAATTAACGTATTCTCTACCATTGTCTGATTGTAAAGCCTTAATTCGTTTACCCGTAAATGTTTCTACTGCTCTTTTGTATTGCTTAAATACATTTAATACATCGGATTTTTGTTTTATAAAATAAACTTGACAATAGCGTGATTTGTCATCAATAAATGTTACGAAATATCTTGCATCCGAATTTGATGCTGTTCTCATTGGTCCGCACACATCACTATGCACGATCTCTAATAAATCACTTGTTCTAGTTTCTGTACTCTTAGGAAATGACTTTTGTGTTTGTTTTTCACTAATACAAATTTCGCAAGTCGGAAATTTTTGTTTAGGATTTAATTTTAATCCGTGTACTAGGTTATAACTAGCCAATTTTTTAAGATCATTTTCATTTATGTGGCCCATTTTCTGGTACCACTTTTCAATGTCACATTTTTCTTCAGCAACTTGTGCAAAATGATTTTTATTTTCAACAATAAAAAGATTTCCACATCTTTTCGCTCGAGTTATAACCTTCTGATATTTGTCCAATACGATTGCATCTGAAGGGCGAAAATGCACTTCATATCCGCTGTCTACTATTTTTGATACAGAAAGTAGACTTGTACGCAAGTCTTCGACATATAGGACTTCTTTAAGATCAATATTATTATCACGACCGTCTACGTCTACAGTTATTTTCATTTTACCGACGCCGTTTATATTTGTTGTGTTATCGTTTGCTAAGTTAAGCACTTTATTCGATTTTTGAAAGTCTGTAAAATATTCACGGTTTGCACTTAAATGGGCAGTACATCCACTATCTAGGCACCAATAATTTTCTTTTATTGAGCTAATAAATGCATCTTCAACATGATAGCTTAAATTATTGTTTACAGATTTTTCCGAATTTTTCAATTGCGTGTTATTTTCAGTTTTTGCTTTATTTTTACATTCACGCGCAAAATGTCCGTTTTTGCCACAATTAAAACATTGTTTATTTCGTTTAGAATCACTGTATCGTTTGTTTTGTTTTGCGTTTCGGCTTTTGTTTCGATTTATGTATAGAGAGTTTTCATCACTATGTCTATCTTCTTTTATCCTTTGCGATTCAGCTTCTTCTAAGATTTTCACTCGAAGTATATCTGGTTTCGGCAGCTCGTCGCGCGTTTCTAATGCGCACCTGAAAGTGTTGAAAGAGTCGGGTAGACTGTATAAGAGCAGGAAGCTCATCCCCGATGCTGACGTCAATTTCTTTTAATTTCACAACGGTTTCGAAGAAATCGTTTAGATGTTCTCGAACCTTCTCACCCTCTTTCATGCGCGAAAGTGCAACCTTTTTCAGCAACGTCGCCTTGCGCGCAGGCCCTTTTGATGAATATGTAGCTTGTAGTTTCATCCACATTTCCTTTGAGTTTGTGCATTCTGCAATTAATCTTAATTCTGATGCACTTACTGATAGCATTATATCAGCACACGGTTTCTGATCAAAGCTGATCCATTTTGCAGCCCCTTCACCCGTTGGACACGACGCAGTACCTTCGACATATGACCATAAATCGTTTTTCACGAGAATAGCTTTCATTTGGAGCTTCCATGTATCGTAGTTTTCCGCATTAAGCGGTTCAACGCGAATTACCGTTCCCGACATTTATATACACGTGTTAAATCTACTTTTTATGCGCACGTGCTTTTACTTCGCAGTGGAAGCGTGCTGGGCCCATAACCTAGTATATATTTTTTTAGCAATAAATGATACACACGGTCCGATGTATTTTAACAAGTTTTTACTTCACTTTGTTATCTATAGTAATGAATAAATAAGAAAAGGAATATAGAATAATGACAGGCCAGAGTTGCCAGGCAACTAATATTAAAAAAGTACTTTACATAACAACAG